CCCAGGGTGGCTTTGGCAGGGCACATCTTCACAAATCAGGGCTGAACTGCCAGCCTCGGGCAGCACCAGGGATCACGCACACAGCACATCCCTGCATACGGGACAACACCCTGCAGAGCGATATGCTGACAGAAGCAATACCTTGTACATCCTTGCAGGAGAAAATCTTGACTCATCTTTCCCCCTCTTCTGTCCCAAGATATAATCAAATTCAAACTCCTACATCAAGTTTTGCCTCTTGAAATTCTCTACAACATTGACTCAAAATCCAGTAGCCCTGCACACCTAGAAGATGATGCATTTTAGGAAGCAGCTGTGCAAATTCATAGGAGACCTTGCGATCTCCATAATGAAAGTCCCAACGACAGCCGTCGCTGACAGTCATCTGATTGCTGCTCATTACTCATCAGAGCACACCTTACACATAACCTACGCAACCTACGGCCACGTGTGAAGTTTCTGCAATGCATGAGTGCACACGAATGTGTTAGCCTGAACTCTCGCTGCGCCATGCAACCTGCACAGCTCAGCATTTAACTGTTCCATGGCCATGGGGCAGAGGGGGGTGAAATTTTAAGGAGCTGGAGGGATGAATCAGTTCGTGTCTGTACCTACGACCTCAAAGGGCACAATCAAAATCAGTCAACTTCAAGATTGTATTCCCAGGCTTAAAGTTAACCATGTACCTAGGCAACTAAATGAGAAATATATATATAAAAAAGCATAACTCTGACAGCCAGTCTTGAATTAGCCCATTTTCCTAATGTCTATAAACCTGATGCTTTTCATTCTGCAGATTTATACTATTACCATTATTTTTCTTTACAAACTAACTCCATTGCACATCCTAGATAAATATAGATGCAATTCTGCTCCATATTTTGAAGGGTGTTTCTTTCAAATCACCCTGTCTATTTAGCTATCCTAAATACGGCAGCCTGGCACATTACAACACTGAAGAGCTACAGAATTACTTGCACAGAGATTCTTGCAATGTTTCTAACCCCAAAATTGCCACTAATGCAAGAACACAATTAGACCGAGCATTTACAGAGCACAACAAATATCTGACTACGCGGTGCATTTGTGTACTAGCGGGGATTGACAGCTTCCAAGCAATCGAAGGGATTTATTTTAGGGAAAGGCGTGTGACTACGTATTCTAAATGGCTTAGATGAACTTTACCAAAATGGTTCAGCAAAGCAGATGTCCAGGCAACCTGTCAGAGGCACGCCAGCAGTGTTTAATGCATAGGCGAAGCACACCACAATGCCGTGGGTGGCTTATATCCGACGTGAAAACATTCACAACTCACTGCCCAGTGAGCGAGTGAACGGCTCACTGTGGTCGCGCGCCAGCGAGGAGTTTCTGGTTTGGTTCGGCAATGAACTGCAATAGCCAGTCCCTGGGGAACCGGGAGTCACGGACCACACAAAACCAAGTTGTTTGGTGTTAACTATTGATACGGATACTTGAGAGCTGCTCCCAAGGGAGGGATGGTGGGGGCAATGCTCCTGCTGCTCCTCCCTCACATCCGCAGACAGCGAGCTGCACCCGCTGCGCCCGCCTGTGAAAATTGGGGCACCCATGCAGACATTTACGAGGCAGTTGCGCCCCAAGCCCTGCCAAAAAAGCTGACTTCAGCTTGACTGAAGCACCCCAATGGCTCATCGTAGACCACTGTGCCTGTCTGGATCTCACCAGTGGGGACAGGATCAGGTCACCCCTTCAGCGGGGACAAGACGCAGCCTCTGCCATCGCGGGCTGGGTATCACGCTGTTCATCACCCTCCCATCCCCTCCGGCGTCACCCGTACCTCCATCGGCGTACGTCTCGGTGCCGTAGCCATCCTGCAGGCCATTATTCCAGGTACCTTCATACTTGGCTCCGCTGCTCATGCTCTGCCTCGCGCCGTACCGCCCCTTAAAGCCATGGGTCCACTCGCCTCTGTAAACCCACCGTCCTTTGGTCTCGATTCCTAGGCCGTGCCTCTTGCCTTGGGACCAGTAGCCCTCGTAGGTGTTGCCGCTGGGCCACGTGTATATGCCCACCACTTCGAAGCCGTAGTTCCAGGAGCCCGAGTACTCGCCCTGGCCCTTGGGGCCGGTGCAGATGCCGTGCCCGTGGGCTTTGCCCCCTTCCCAGCCCCCGCAGTAGGCGCCTCCGTCATC